TAACTAAATCCTCACTCACTCTAGACCCAGGTGAGCCTCCCCTGGGGCCCAAAGGGGCCTGATTGTGTAGTTGTTACTTCACAGTCATTTAGTACATGCTTTAGCTTTGCTTTAGTACTTTAGCAAGTACTAAATGACTGCACAATAACTGCTGTTACTGCGCAGATCTGGACATTGCATTGGTCTTTTTCAACCCTACTATCCAGTAGCAATGAGCTGCTGTGCAGAAGTGTTGGCATCACAGTTTGTGCCCACTAATGCTACATCACCATAGCTCATCACTACTGTGACATAAGGTATCTTGTACATGTACCCAGTGTGTCCTAAGGATCATAGGGCTGCATACTCTCTGCCTACCCAAGTACAGTGATGCATTCCTGAGCGTGAAGGCAGACAGCGAGGATAAGCATGGAGCCACCTAAGGGCCAACTTTTGGCTCTGTAGCTTAGTACTAGATTTTTGTGGGTGGGTGTGGGTGCCTGCTTAGCCATGTCCTCCCCAGAGCTGGCTGTTAACACAGTTTAGAAAAGTCTACAGTGTCTTATCTTCAGTGTCATTCCTAGCAGTATTACTGATGCTCACATGAATGAGCAGGAAAGGGTAGTGGTCTGAGGGTCTGATAAGTTTTGACAATCTCTTCATCATGTCTTAATACTGAATTTAGTCTCCAGGCTTTCATCATCTCTCTCAGGAATGTTGTCTAGAGTAGTGGTTCTCAAACTTCTTTGTGCCAGGACCCATTTGTAAATATTGATGGCAAGTCCCAATCCATTGCCCCTCACTTCTGACCCACTGCCCCCAGGCACCAGCCCCACAATGTGTGGGGCAGGGGTGTGTGTATAGGGTATGGAGGACCCCAAGCAGCCCATTGCAGGCTGGAACTCTGACAGCCTACAAGGGAATAGCCACCATTTCCCACATTTTATTCCTTTAAAGGAGAATCCATTTTGTTGATCCATTTTTAAAGTTTTTTCACAACCCTTTCATATATTCTTGTGATGCACAGGTTGAAAAACACTAATCTAGACCACAAATGAGTTCCTTGACTCCCTCTTGAGGAGAACAATGGACTACATCCACTATACTGATCACAGCATCCTCACTCCTAAGCCTGTGTGACTCCTGCCTTTTTGTCAATGAGGTCTACTTCTGATCTCTTCCATTTGTGGAATCATCAAAGGCATTCTCTCAGCAGTTGTACTTGTGCTGAGGTACTTTAAATCTGCTTTTGGTGACTTTCCTTCTCTTTCTTCTTTTGGAGGTAATGTGGCACCAATTATCTTTCCCATTCTTCAGTTTCTTCTGCATGGTCCTGCTGCGCAGCTCATGAATTTTGCCTAGGGAACCTTCATTCTTTGTGATGCTATGTGTTTCATGACAGAGTAATTACCTCTGAACCATGAAACCTTTTCCAATATGGCTATTTAAAGGAAGGCATTTTTTAAAAGAGTAGTTTACTGATAGTGGAGATATGAAGGACATCTCTAGTCTATCCATTCAAACAACATCAAGTAGTTTAGAGGTAAAGTAAGCAGAATGTTTTATGGTGGAAGCAGTTAGTTATATTAGTTTAAAATTTTTGGGTTTTTCTTTTCAGAAATTAGGTGTAGGCTTGTAGAAGTAGATGTAAAATGAATACACTGAAAAATTAATACAAGAAGATTTTAGCTATGTCTTTTTAGGAAAATTATTTTGTTTTGACATTTTCCACATCCATAATCAATTAATGTTTAATGTAGTTACATATAAATTTCATCTTGTATACAGTGATAAAATTATTTAATTGACATTAAAATATTTGTATTTCTATGGTCTATGGGAATTATAATACTCAGTGGGCATGTCTACATGAGACGTTTTACTAAGTTGTAGACAGTTCCAGATTATGACATGCTGAGGCCCTGAGCTATGTCCATCTTAAGAGGCCCCGTACAATAAAAATAATCCAATATATGTATATATTTGTCTTAATAAAATGAAAATATCCATATTTAGAGAATCATTTCCCCATATCTCCTTTATCTACCAACTGATTATTATAAAAATTGATATTGAGTCAGGTTTTTTTTTCTTATTTAGAGGCCCCTCATATTGTGAGGCCCTAAGCTGTAGCTGAAGCCTAAATCTGGTATTGGCAGTAGATCAATTTACTGTGCAGTAAGCATTACCATCTACATGTGCAGATACTTAGTGGGCACATCTACTCGAGACCCTTACTTCACAGTAGCTTAATAACACTGTGCAGTAGCATGCTGGTCAAAAACCATGCTAATACTGTGCAGGGTTATTATACTACTGTGCAGTAATCATCACAAAAACACTATGCGCCAGCACTACACATTTAGCTACTACTTCATTAAGCAAGTACTAAACTAAATGTGCAGTAACTACTGTGCCTAAATGAATGTGTAGATGTACACACTGTGCAGAATATTAGTCTGCTCAGCAGTAAATTTGCTACCTGCAAACAAAGGGATCAAATTAACTGTGGAATAGTTTCTGTGCAATAAGGCATGTGTAGATAGCTGACCGGAGGAAATTTGCTCCCATTCAGCCAGACAGCAGGGGATGGGAAATTGCTCCCTGCCCCTGGGAGCTGCTTGATGCTGGGACAGGCTCCTATAGCAGATCTTGAGCCAAGGCAATGTCCCCATCCTGGCAGCAAGGAGCTCCCAGCACTAGCTCCATGATTGCAGGTCCCCTGCCAGTTTCGGGGTAGGTCCCAAACAGCTCCAAGCTGTGCATGCAGACTTCCCCATACAGCCTGGGGTTGGCTGGGAATTGTCTCAGTCTGGGACAGGTCCCAGCCCTGCAGCTCTTTTTCAGCCCTGTGGCCTGATCAGGTGATCAAAGCAGGGGGCTTGGAAAGAACTTTGAGGGAGGAGCAGGTCCCAGCCTCCTGCCCTGGTCCAGTGGTGTAGCAGTTACCAGCAAGTCCCTGGCTGGGTGAGGAATCTCATGAATGTATGAACATGTAAGACCGCTGACTTCACAACCACTGCTTCTAATTTAGGTAATGACCCAGGAAATACTTAAGGAAATATTTAAATTCATTCCTATGCAGAATAATATTAAATGCTTAGAATTAAGTGCATACTTAAGTGTGTTCCTGAAATGAATGTTTTCATAGTTTCATAGTTTCTAGGGTTGGAAGAGACCTGAGCAGATCATCTAGTCCGACCCCCTGCCATGGCAGGAAGAGCACTGGGGTCAAACGACCCCAGCAAGGTGGTCATCCAACCTCCTCTTAGAAACCCGCAGGGTGGGAGCCTGCACCACCTCACTTGGAAGCTGGTTCCAGACTCTAGCCGCCCTGACCGTGAAGTAGCGCCTCCTAATGTCCAACTTAAACCTTCCCTCCGCCAGCTTGTGACCATTGTTCCTGGTATTCCTTGCGGCGCTAGGGGGAACAGGGACTCCCCCAGCTCCTGCTGATCCCCCCTAACCAGTTTATAACAGGCCACAAGATCCCCCCTCAGCCTTCTCTTTTGAAGGCTGAACAGGTTCAGGTCCCGCAAGCTTTCCTCATAGGACCTACCCTGCTGCCCCTTGATCATACGAGTGGCCCTCCTCTTATTATAGAAGAACTCCCAGCAGTATAAATGAAAACATAATTAGGCCCCTCTTCTCTTGTTTTCATGCAACCTGGACAAAATAAGTCAAACTGGTATATTATTAGGTATAAAAGATTATGGGTAAAATTCAGAATAACTGATTAAGGCCTTAATCAATGATTATTAATCCCCAGGTTGTACTGGGTTGAAATGATCTATTGAGCCTTTTGGGATCCTCCTGGCAAGAGGTAAATTTTTCTCATCACTCATACTAGGAAAATTATGAAGAAATTGCAGTGCATATATAATGAAATACAATATATGGAGATCCATAAATGTATCATCATGTCAGTTACACTGACATAATTTCATAAACCACTTTATAGTAATTAGGCTTTTTGTTGGTGATTTTAATATTAGAAGCTGATCAAAATGGATTGTAGGAAAATGAAACCATTTTTAATGAGAACAAACTTCTTATTCAACATGGTAGCATAAAGCTCAAGTTTCTTAATAGGAGCATACTAGTTTGCTTTATTCATTTATTTATTTTGAACATCCAGTTCTGTTCCCACTGGGGTTCTTAATCTGCACTGCATGAGTTCTCCCTTTTTTCTCTCTCAGTTGTGAAAGGTACTGAGTTTATAGCTCTGGAGATAAAAGTCTTCTAACATAGACAAGCTGTAGTGCAGCATAAGATATGCCTTAGTAATTGTAACAGAAGTTTTGCATATTTCCTCAGGTCCTTGACTTATTGGGTCTGCCCAGCCACTAGGGGCACATGGTAGGGCTACAGGGACTTAGCACCAACTTAGTGCCAAGTGCATTAACGTAGGGCATTTATGCACATACTTTTTTTTCCAGGCACATTCCAGAGACCTGCCACTTCGGAGCAGAGTCAATTAATTGAGTCTGCTCTGCACGTGACCTGAGGTGAACTGCATTGCGCTGCATGCAGTTGTATAAGTGGCGAAATATGTGTTGGGATCCAGAAAAAGCCATCAGTGAACTTTTGGATTAAAGCACCTCTGAGGTGTTTTAGTTCAGAAGTGCACTGCTGCCATTTTCTCAGCACTGCTTATAAAACTATGCATCACAGCACTGGGTACTTTTCAAAACTCCCAGTACTGCAATACAAGCATGTGTAAAATGTCCTTTAATGCCAAGTCTCTGCATGTGTAGACTCCTGCTAAAAATCACTTAGTGCACATTAGTTTAATGTGCATTATATTTAGTTGTGCTTTAGTGCATGTGTAGATGCGCACAGTAGGACATATGTAGGGCAGATCAGCTTTCATTTTACTAGCCATTATTGGTCTTTCAGTTGTAATATGCAATACTGTATATTATGATGAATTTGCTTTTGTTAGGGTAATTAACAGAGATCACCAAATAATTGCAGAGAGAGCACAAAGTAACTGTTTTCAGTAAGTAAGAATCTACTGTAAGTAGGATCAAATAAATGACCTAAATATTTAAAAGTATCACTCTGAGCCTTCATGAGTCATTACATTCTTAATCGAAGACATTTTCTCTAGTTAAAAAACATTTTATTTCATAAAAATTATTGATATTGCACTCAGACCATTCACTTGTTGGTTTTCAATATTTAAAATTGTTCAACAGTTTAACATTTTCCCACTATTTACAATTCATTTTAATTATAAACCCACAAATATTTACCTTTAATATTTAATAAAAATTATTATTATTTCATAGAATCATAGAAAAGTGGGGCTAGAAGGGACCACTGGAGGTCACCTTGTCCAAGTCCCTGCCAGAGGCAGGATCACCTCTATCCAAACCATCCTATAAAAACCCTTGTCTAACTGATTACTAAAATTCTGTAGTCAATCCTGTTGCACAACTACAAGGCATAGCACCCTCACCTGCTATGCACAAAACAAGTGCACAATGGTGGTCAATGATTCAGTACTGCCAGGGTTGTTAAAATATTCTTGAGAGATCCAAGAAGGCCATTTCCTTCCACTGCCAGTTAGAAAGGAAGTAAAAAACCCCTACAGTCCGTAACAATATCACCATGGGGTAAAATTCCTTCCTGATCCCAAATGTGGTAAGTAGTCTGACCCTGTGCAAAAGGGCATGACCATCTAGGAAGAAACCTCTAGATTTTAGTCCTAAAAGAAGCACTGGAACACTCCATTCAAAATCCCCAACCTTGGCTGCAGCTAAGATCTAATGCTTCTGAGGAAGGTGAACCCCTCAAAACAAAAACAAAAACAAACAAACAACCCCCCTCCCAAGTAACCAGAAACCCTGATGTGTATATACAAAATAGGGGAAAACATTCCTTCATGGAATCAAATAGTATTTAAGAGCACATTACAAAAGATAGTTTAACAAAACCTTGCTATCATTTGAATGCTTAAGCATTTTACTCTAAAATAATTATAACATTCATTGTATTAGAATTAATTTAGTTAATGAATGTGAGTCAACACATTATATTAGTTGCCCATCTTTAATAATGCATTGTTGCATATAAAGTACAAATTTTTATTAGAAGTTCATGGCTGTACTTAAAACTTTGAAGTTGTAATTACAGGTTGCCTGTCAGTCATTTCTGTGAGTACTTATAAATATCAGAGGCTTTCTGGAGGATCTTTGAAGAAATCTTCCAGTGCTGCCCACAAGGGTCTTTTTTGCTATACTGGTCTTTTTTGCTAGCCAATCTTCCAGTCTTTACTTATATATTAGTTGATCTGTCACTTAGAACTATGCTATCTGCAACACCTTGATAAAACATTTTACAAAATAAACAAGTAGAAAAATATAATTTTCCACAGTCTGCAGAGAGCAAAGTGACTTTCCCAAAATAGTATGGTATGTCAATGGCAAGTCAAAGGACAGAATCCAGTTTTCTTGATGCCATTAGTCAAATGTTCTCTGTCAAGCCATCTCACGTTCTTTCCTTTAATCCTTTCTAAATATTACCTTTTTCTATGCTGACTATAAGAAATAAAATCGCAGCAATAATTTGATAGGAGAAACAAAGAGAACTCTTAGTTATTCTTTATGTTTGCATCTTTGCACATTTTATCAGTAATATCTTTCTCAATTGCATTATATGAGATATTTCAGGCAGGGAAGGTTCAGTTTCATATCACATCTCAATCAGCCCCAACCAGATCTTTAGTACTCTAATCACTAGTTATTTTATGGTGTTGATGCTACTTCTGTTGTTGCTGTTGCTATTAAAGTACTGATGAACTTACTGTCTGAGAACAAAATAATCACAAGATACAGTATTTGTTGTTATTTTGTTTTCTGTCAATTTGTACTTCATTTATTATTAATACATGTTAGCATAGAAACTAGGGTCTTTTGTGTTTGTTTGTTTGTTGGTTTGTTTTAAGATTAGCCACACAGTACTTGCAAGCTAATCCTTTTTACAAAATAATTAGCTCAAAAACTTTTTCTCATGTTGTCTAATCCATACCAATCATGACATGTTATTCATCATTTGAGATGAATTATTTGTAATGTGCTTCATAGAAAGCTGTTTCTGCATAGACATAATGTTATGCTTAATTGTTATTATCACCAGCAAGAAGCAACAAGGGAAGTAGTGTTTTCCCTTCTCATATACTGCCCTGTAAAATATTAACTATTTCAAAATCATAAATGTGCATGATATTACTTTATGCCTCATCTTTTGATTTTTGCTTCCTGCTGATACTTTGACAGTTGGTGCAGCAGCAGGAGGCAAAAATGAAAGCAGCACACTTGATATTTGCCCTGAGGCAGAAAATGAGAAATGGAATGGCTAGCCAGTGTGCCCCAAAATGAATGTTTAAAATAATCCAACAATGAGGATTTTTCCACCTTCTGGTGTGAAGACAAGAATTTCTGAATTTCTTCCTTCCAACCATTTTATTTGAGCCAAGTCAATCAAGGTGAGAATTTGTGAAATCAAACTCTTCACATGTGAAACAGTTACTCTGTTTATTCTTACTGTGTCACCTAATCCTTCAATAGCTGTTTTTATGGCAACAGATTTCAGCATGTAACTAACTATACAGCAAAAAGTGGAAATGGAACTAATGGCTATACTAGAATGGGTTTCTGGAGGCTTGAATTTAGATCCAGAATCATCTAAAAATTTCTTTTATGACCTTGAACAAATTGTACAAATCCTGTGACCACAGTCATGTAATAGTTTCTTGTTTTTAAATATTGTCCTGTCCACAAAAAATCAAAATTGTGTTTAACTTTCTGCTAGCTGGGAAGTTTTCCAGCATAATGGATTTTAGAAGCACATATCACATAAAGGCATGCATGTAGGTTAATTCAAATATATTTTCTATAGAGAAGACACTTAAAAATAGTTAAGGCAATGTTTACACAGTAAATTTGCTTAGCCTGTGAGCTATGGCTGAAAGGTACTGGTTGAAGCTTTAAAGACAACAAGAATGCTGTCACCTTCGTTTTTCTTTCCTTTTTTTACTTCAATAAAAGAGATCATGTAAGAATTGTTATAGTGGCTCCTCACCATAAACTTATCTTCCTGTGGTTAATTTGACTATTGAGGGCAGCCCTGGGAGAATGACTGCTAGAAGGTATAACACTTTTGAATATACTGATTTTAGGAAGCAAGAAAGTAAAACATAAAACAATATGCCTATGTGGAAACCTGGGAAAATAAATTTTAACAAGGGGATGTAAACTGCCCCAATCCCAACCAATGTTAAACTAACACAGATTTATTACTAGGGCTAAGGGAACAAACACACAGCCTTAAAGAAAATCTTAACTATTAACCATTAACTGAAACCCAAAATACTTAATTGTCTCAGTTATTAGCAAATCAACCCAGGGGAGCTACCACCTAGCCCATTCAGTTGGGAAGGGTGACTTACACTTCGCTATGTAACTCTAGCTCTTTAAACCCTGACATACTCAACAGAAGAATAAAAAAAATCAGCTCTATAGTAAATATTGGGCTTCTACCTTAAACTCACAAGCACTTTATGTTTGAGAAGTTGATAAACCACAAGGCCAATCAGGGAGTGATCTTTATCTTGAGTTTCTTTTGCGCATGACATATACACAGTTCTTATGCTGGAGCTGAGAGCTGCCCCACTGCAAATATCACAGTAGTGCTAACAGTGAGTCCTGACCCTTCTATGACCTTTGTATAACTTTTCATTAGCCACATTTATGCACCTACACACTTCAGTTTTAGAAGGTAAGGCCTATGGATACATGGATCCAATCTCCCTGAGCATTTTATCTCCCAAATTGTGAGTCAGGCCTACAGATAGTAAAAAACAGGTGTAAGTAGCCCTCAGACCTTGGAACATGAATACTAATGAGTATATGCAAAGAATGAATACACAAAATTACCATAACAGAGCATAACTGTAACAGAGTAGGCATAAAATAAACAGAGTTATATTTATATTGGTTAAATGCATAGTTATTAAATGTATAATTAAGAGTGAAGAGGGTAGGGGAATAGGTAGTGCTAGCCTTGATCCTTCAGGTCAAGGGGAAGGCTCCGGGCAGGAGTGGACAGATCCTGCAGATCAATGCATGGCTACTCAGGTGGTGTCACCAGCAGGGTTTCAGCTTCTTCAACTATTGTATATTGTTTTGAAAAGAAGGACTGGTGGGAAGAGGTGGGATCCATTTGACAAAGAGAGGAAAGAACATCTTTATGGACAGGCTCACTAACCTAGTGAGGAGGGCTTTAAAATAGGTTTGATGGAGACCAAAGCACTGAGGTAAGTGGGAAAGTAGGAGAACCAGGTATTTACTTCAGGTGTTTGTACATGAAAATACGGAGACCCAGAAATAAGCAGAAAGAATTGGAAGTCCTCGAACAGTCAAGGATTTATGACATGAATGGAATAACAGACTTGGTGGGATAGCTCTCATGAATGGAGTACTTTCATGGATGGGTACAAATTGTTCTGGAAGGACAGGCAGGGAAGAAGAGGAGGAGGAGTTGCGCTTTATGTAAAAGAGCTGTATAATTGCTCAGAGCTCCAGTATAAAACTGGAGATAGACTTTTTGAAAGTCTCTGGGTTAAGGTTAGAGGGGAAAGCACCAAGAGTGATGTTGTGGTGGGTGTCCACTATAGATCATCAGACTAGGAGGATGAGGTAGATGAGGCTTTTTTAAAGAAAACTAGTGGAGTTTTCCAGATCACATGCCCTGGTTCTCATGGGAGACTTCAATCATCCTGACACCTGCTGGGAGCGCAAATACAGTAGTGCACAGGCTATCTAGGGAGTATTTGGAAAGTGTTGGAGACAACTTCCTTGTGCAAGTGTTGGAGAAACAAACTATGCTCTTCTTGACCTACTGCTTGCAAACAGGAAACAATTCGTAGGGGATGTAGAAGTGGATGACAAGTTGGGCAGCTGTGACCATGAGAGGCTTGAGTTCAGGATCCTGAGGAAAGGAAGAAAGGAGAACATGACAGTATGGACCCTTAACTTCAGAAAAGCAGACTTTGACTCCCTCGGGGGACTCATGGGCAAGATCCCTTGGCAGGCTAGTCTGAGGGAGAAAGGAGTCCAGGGAGAACTGCTTGTATTTTAAAGAAACTTTACTGAGGGTTCAGGAACCAGCCACTCTGATGTGCTGGAGGAATAGCAAGTGTGGCAAGTGACCAGCTTGGCTTAGCAGAGAACCTTTAGTAAACTTAAACAAAAAAGAAGCTTACAAGAGGTGGAAGCTTGGCCAGAGGACTAGGGAGGAGCATACAAATATTGCTCTATTGCTCATGCATGCATGGATGAAATCAGGAAGGCCAAAGCACAATTGGAGTTCCAGAAACCAAGGGACATGAAGGCAAACAAGAAGGGTTTCTACAAGTATGCTAGCAATAAGAGGAAGGTCAGGGAAAGTGTGGATCCCTTATTGAATGGAGGAGGAAACCTAGTGACAGACGAGGAGGAAAAGGGTGAAAGACTCAATATTCTCTAATATATTCTGTATTCACAAGCAAGGTCAGCTCCCACATTACTGCACTGGTCAGCTCAGTTTTGGGAGGCATCAGCAGCCCTCAGTGGTGAAATAACAGGTTAGGGACTATTTAGGAAAGCTGGATGTGTACAAGTCAATGGGGTAGATGTAATGAATCTGAGGGTGCTGAAGGAGTTGGCTGATGTGATTGCAGAGCTGCTGGCCATTATATTTAAAAACTTGTGGTGATCAGGGAGGTCCCAAATAATTTGAAATAGGAAAATATAGTGCCAATCTTTAAAAAAGGGATGGAGAATCCAGGGAACTACAGACCAATCAACCAATCAACCTCACCTCATTCCCCAGAAAAATAA